TTTAAACCCCGACATTTTGCTAACGCACTTGAAGATCTATATTAAGAAACTGATATACTTACTTTCACAATGCACTCTCACACTGAGATGGTACCGTTAAATAACCTGGGGCGGTGTATTTGTCCTTGAAACTTTCCAAAAATTCTTGCATTCTTTCACCCCCACCCTAGAACATTGTGTTCGCATAACGGGACGAAATAATGCAGAGCTCGGTTCACACTAGTGCGAAAATAGTGTTAAACTCACCATGTGAAACAAAAGTGAATGAATATTAAACAACATATAAACTTCAAAAAAAAGCCCCGGTTAAGCCGCAAACCGGTTAATCCGCCCCCGGATAATCGAGAGTTGACTGTACTTGCATTATTAATTTTTCTACCTGTGTCTGATTTTATAATGCTCCAGGTGGTTTTCATTTTGTTACTAGAATTAGAAATTAATTTAATGAAGATTTTTAGCTCCTTTAATAACACTGGCCAGAGTTTTACAGTCTGTTTTATAATAATATTTGAGATCTGGCTTATACCGTGCTGAATCCCTGGGAAAATTGAAGAATATCATTCCAGTTTCCTCACAGGAAGTTGTGCATCCTGGAGCATCCTTCCCATTTATACTGCAAGGAGCAAAACACTTCTTTTTCCTTCCCATTTATACTGCAAGGAGCAAAACACTTCTTTCCTCTTTGCCATTTTAATGGATCAAACAATACAAAAATTATAACAGAATCAGAGTACACTCTCACTTTCTTGAGATTCTACGGTCCTTCTTCAGGCTGCACCGAAAGATGTTTAAAATACAGAAATACGATTTGGATGAAATATCGTAGTAACACTGACTTCATGTTTTTTTTTTTTTTCTAATTTCACTGGGCGTAGTAAGCATAATCCATATGCATAAGTAACACAGATGTAAATTCGTGCGTAAATATCGACTCTCGTTTCATAACATCAAATCGAAGTCCCTACTTACTAATTTATTTAATTGATTAATTGCATGACATACCTCAGTGGCGTACACATAACTTCAAAAACTACGCAGTATTACCATATTACTGAGCCAACACTCAAAGCCTTCAGTGTAAATTCAAGTTCCTCTGATTGGCTCACGCTTATGCGATTCATCTAATTTTGATAGGTGTATAATGATCAATTCCAGTCATTTCCAGACTATCTAGTTCATGTAGGATGCGTAGAGATGGCTGGTCTGCATGTTTCCCTCTCCCCTAGGGGAGTTTCACCCCACTGACCCTGAGGTTCTGCGTCTTGCTGGCACTTCGTATCGCCCCTACTTCCTGCGACAGCGAGCTCTATCAGTCACTTCCGGGATTGGAATTTGCCCAGTTGGGCAAGTGTACACGCTCGGCCGACCTAGGCTGTGCAGCAGGCACTGGCTTGGTTACTCTTTCCACCTCCATTTGCAGTGGAATAGCATGATGTGACATAACTCCCACGATTTCGTTGGGATCGTCAACACAGCATGGGCAATCAGATGTATGTAGCTGGGTCCATAGCTAAGATATTGGGTGTGGACTGGCTGTTCGTTTCTTGGTCAGTAGAAGGTCGTTGACCAGTACGGCATGGGAAAATTCTCTGGATCATTGTTGTTAAAGGCCGTTGCCAGTATCTTGAGGTAAGGACAGCTAAGGATATGATAATACTGAAGGTAGATAATTTGTTCTCAAGTGTTTCTTTTGGTTCTGGCAAATTATCTTTTGCCTCCCCTGTGATTTTGGATTCAGTAGCTTTTAATAGAAGCAGTTGTAATAGGTGTATGACCTGTCGAGCTTCCCCGACAGCTAAGGATTGGACAATACTGAAGGTAGATAATTTGTTCTCAAGTGTTTCTTTTGGTTCTGGCAAATTATCTTTTGCCTCCCCTGTGATTTTGGATTCAGTAGCTTTTAATAGAAGCAGTTGTAATAGGTGTATGACCTGTCGAGCTACCCCAACTCCCTCGTAGTATTCATGTAAATGCCTAGGATTTCCATCGAAAGCTCTAGAAATTAGTTTGACCGCCTGAACCACAGAGATATATTCAATTTCTTCTTCCATGATGGAATGGACTATCCTTCTGAAAATGGAAGAGTGAAGGGTGGTTGGAAGGTCGAAGTTTGGAACGTTGAAGATGATGTTCCCTCGGGGTGTCTCCAAGCTCCTCTCATATCGACTGTTGCTCCCGACTTCTCACCTAAGCTGTCACTCAGGATTCAACAAAGGCCGCCGATGGAAGCTTCCTCCCACTGGATTTAGTGGTTGCTTCTTCCAAGTACTTGGTGCCAGGAATTCCTCCAGAGTGTTGGGCTAGATTCATCTCTGTGAGAAAAATGTTCCGATTGACCTTCGGATAAGGTTTTTTTGTGTTTGAAATAAATTGAGACTCCATCGCGAATTTGTTACGAGACCTCTCCGACCGGGGGTTGTTCATCAGTGGCGGGCCACCAAGTCACACAACTTTTTCTGCCCATGAAAAAGTGGTCAAAGTAGGCCTGAATGCACCTCGATGTCTTCAAGCCCCTCTGGTTCTTCCAGTTTACAACCAGTCAGTTGATTCTTGGTGTTGTCAGCAGCACCTATCCCACCGCTGCTACCATGTAATGATTTCCGTTACCACCAGGTAAAGTTTCTCTCGCCAGAAGATGTTAAAGTTGATATTACCAGGTGAAACTCTTATTTCTGGGATGAGGTGTTGAGGCGAAGGTAAGCAAAGAGAACCAAGTCTTCTTGAGTGCCATGAATCAGACTGATATTATTAAATCCTCAATACACAGTCGATACAGAAGAAATAAAAATGAAGGGTCCAAGACCTGAGTAACAACTCCTAACCAATGAGAAGCAGCAGTTTGCTGTTTCTCATGTGATCAGACTATCTGGTGTTGTCCAGTCATACTCATCTATACTTATAGGAACAGTCTAGCCATTGGCTTGACCAAAGTTTATGCCTGTGACATTGACTTCAAATGTAAGTGGGATGACATGAGGCAGATGCTTGTGGCAAGAGAGTTTGTTTACATGCTCCAGATTAAGACCAAAGTAACAACACATGGAGTGAAAGTACTGTAGCGTATTTTTGCCACTGGGGACACCTTTCAGATTGTTAATTGGTTTATTTAACAACCTACAAGTCTTGGCTGCAATTATAACACTGTTACTGGTTTACACAATTAAAACCCTACACAATCTGTCCACTGTCCTCAGTAGTCTACACGTTCCGATATTCTTCTTTCCGCTACAACTGAACTCGGCGACTGTTCCAATTCAACTGTCTCTGGCGACAGCTACATTTCAGCCGTCTTTGGTGGCTGCTACATTTCAGCTGACTTCGTAGGCAGTGTAGTTCTCTTATAAACCCTCAGCCGGACAACGGGAAAATGACTTGCTTCCTTGTTGCCTTGTCTCATGTTTACCAGTGTTGCTGGGCTTCGCTGCCGGGAGTTGTTTACGGCTAGGTAGCAACTGCGGCATCCCGTGTTACATCACTGCGGTGAGGGGCGGGGTGCTGATTGGCTTATTACCGTAGCAACGGCAACGCTTCGAAAGTGTTGTGTCACCGCTGGGGAGGGAGGGGGTGTTGTGCCCCAAGGGGTTGGGGTAGCGCCGACCCCTAATGGGCCCCTGGATAGCTCTTACCGGGCTTGGGAGGTGCCGGGTAAATGAAACACACAAGTACAAAATACATTGAGGATATATTACTTCACTCTCTCTCTCTGTTTAAGAGCTAACTAATACATGAAAATAAATCTGACTACAACTCACAGTACAGGATATTCATTCCTTGGCCTATCGCCTCCTCCTTAATGGAGTCCTACTCATTCAGTCCCTCTGTTCACAGTTCTGAGTGTTCTAGTTTATCACTGACAGTGTCCCGACAAGAGGCAAGTACTCACTTGAACAGCATAGTAGACACAGAATGGCGGCTCTGGCTGGTCCCTTCATGGTCGGCACTGTCACAGAGTTCGGTAGCAACAACTACGCCCAAAAGCCCTAGCCTAGCCTCCTTCTGCACTCGCGTCTGGGGCTTTTATAAGTCTCTATGCGACGCGCGAGTACTACCCACGCGTGGAAACGCCCTAGAATAGTCTTTTCCCATTGGCGTTCGTCTCTTGCCGTTTCAACACTTGCCCATATATGGTCACTGGTGTACGTGCGTAATTCTCTAACCGATGCATCATAAAATGGCTGCCTACCGGATACCGCACACTCGTGAGTCTGATCTCATTCAACTTCCGGTTCATCATCCTGTGACTGTTCTTTCCCTTTTTATTACAAATGAACTAAAATTAATGATAATACAAAATATATCTGGCATCTAGTGCCGGGGCACAACATTGCCCTCCCCTCAAATGGAAGTCATAACTTCACCAAAGTTGGGCTTCCACCTTAGGGTTATCTTAGTCCTATAGTATGTATATACCTTTTTTTTCCTAAGTATCCATAAAATGTTTTCTCTCTCTTACTCTTACAGTATACAGTTATTGTCAAATGAAAATATATCAAGTTAAAAATACATGATACAATAATTAAATCATTACAGTGCATCATTACAGAAATGCTTCAGTGGGCACACCTGAAATGGAAAACAATTTGTAAACAAAATAATACATTCTGTAGCACTTATGTGTCTTTCTCACATTGTCTTTCTTTTCTCTTTGTTGAGTCTAATCAACTGTGTTACACATGTTGTTAACTTTACATGGTTTGTGGTCCTTCACACTTTTGTTGTGTTAATTGTAATTACGCTTTAGAATTCATGAACCTAACTGTACTCTTGGTTGCATTGTCGTTGGCACACACTGTTCTGCTGGTAGCTTATCGCTGTTGCTTCCGGCGATGAGCTCTCCCTCCATCATTTCCGGAGCTGGAACTTGCCGGGTTGAGCGAAATGTACACGTTCCCCTGTCCTTGGCTGGACCGTGGGTGCTGGTTTGCTTGCAGTCTCCACTTCCATCTGTAGTGGAGTAGCAGGATGTGACGTCGTCACTCCCATGAGCTCACTGCGATCTTCCGTACAGCACGGACAGTTGTTGGATTCTGGGTCGATGACTGTTGCAGTGGGTGTGGACATAGGTTTCATTTCTATGTCGTTGGATTTTGGCTCAGTTCGGCGTGGGAAAATCTTTTGGATCAGCGTGATGATTGGTCGTTGCCAAAGTCTGGAGGTGAGGATAATAAGGGATAGTATAATGCTGATGGTTACTAGTACATATACCCAGGTGGTCTGACTGGTAGTCGTTGTATTACTGGCCATGGTTGCCAATAGTTCTCGTAGTTCCACGTATGACTGCTGCTGGTTAGGTGAGCTCCGCCTGGCGATGGTTTCCAATGCTGCCAGGGCTCGATGTGTTTGTGTCTCATCGTGCATCAGCTGGTCGCGCTCCCTGGGCGATATCAGCTCGGGCAGGTGGGGTAGGAATATCTGGCTTCCGGTGATCGTCACGTTGGTGTATCCATCCGATACCGGTAACAAAACAAAAGCTTCCGAGTAAAATTGACAGTGTGTATCTTCCGTTAACGTGCCAGTATGGGACAGTTCCAAATTAGAACTCTGAGTAGTTCCATTTACTTTACATTTCTTGGTGACAACTGTTGGCGAGGGCAGACTATATATCCAAAAGGGGTGAGGCCCCTTAGCTTGAAGCCATGCAGGATTAAAGTTTTCATTAAGAATATGCTTTCGACAAAGGTCATGGGCGAGTTCTGCCTGACCGAAATACAAAGCTGAAGAGCAAGATGCTCGAGTCTTATGTATGAATGGAAAGGTGGCTTCACAAATGGCAAATATGCCAAGTTTGCATCGCTGTAAGTCTGCCGTCGTTAAAAGTGAGTAGTATTGCCCATTCTCGGTCACTGCCAGGTACAATGTTTCTGGTTCTATCTGAACATGTCTCTTTAATACCTCGGAATAAGCTGGTAGGGGTACACTCCTGAAAAGGGTCATGACTCGATCTGCACCTCGTAAAGGAATTCGCACCACGAGTCGAATGGCTGTCGTCGTGGCATAAGCCTGCACTTTTGCAACTTCATAGTAAATATACATATTGTCAATAGTGAATCCAGCAATCAATGAAACATCCTGTGGTAACTTCAAAATTACTTGCTGCAAAATCATTGATAAGTTATGTGGGGGAATTAAAACTGAAGATAACCTTCCCGTAGCGCTAGTTTCTAACCCTTCCTGTAAGCGCATCACGGATTGTTGCAATTGTACAGCCATAAAGTCCAATTCGCGCATAACGCGTGAAATATTTGCTCTGTAACTTATCAAATTTTCTAAATTTCTAGTGGTATCGTTCCAGGTTTTCTGAATTTTCAAGGCGTTACTAACAACATTTTTAAGAATGCGGGCCACTGCTGCTAGTCCAACTGCATTCTGGGAAACTGTTTCATCTACTGATTTAAGATAAGTGAACTGTTTCTGAACGGCATGAATGACGTCACCTTCCCTCGTTTTAATGCCTTCCACAGTGTCATGCACTTCCTGCAATTGCTGAGTGGTTGCTATCCCNCGTTGGCGAGGGAGGGCTGTCGCACACTATCGGGGTCTCCGCCGGCCTACTGCGCAGCCAATATCCAGTCCTAGATTCTTCCATTGTGTCCATACTTCCATTCGTAGTTGGCTGAATCTCCTGCCGTCTTGCGGGTTCCCAAGTGGGGTCCTGGGTTTCATCCCGTCCATCGGTGGTACTGGTGTAGGGCTACCGCCGATAGCAAAGTAGGTATCTCCAATAGGTGAGGTCACTTCCTCCTCGTCCCCTTCTTCCTGCCGGTTACCGTTCCCTGATTCTGGGGTCGGAATGTTAGTCGGATTAAAGGACGATGGGTCTAGGTTTTGGTGACATCGTTTCATTTTGTTTACATTCGCCGCTATCTCCTGATTCCGCGCTATTCGGATAAGATAATTTAAATCGGAAAGTCTTCTTACAACTTCGTATGGACCTCTCCATTTAAGTCGAAATTTCGGGCAGCCCCGCTTCTGTTTGGTCATCACACGCAGGTAGATCATCTCACCTGGTTGGAAAATTGTTATCCTGGTTCCCTTGTCATACTGCTTCTTCTGTCTTTCTCTCCCAATCCTGTTATTTTCTTTCGCCACACGATAAGCCTCCTCAAGTCGTTCAGTTAAGGTGTCGAGATGGCTCTGGGTTGATCCCTGGCCGTCTCCTGCCTGCTTGTTCACAAACCTTGCTGTTGTGAGGTCATCCTCCGTGGGTAAGCGCATCTGCTGCCCATGTAGCAAGTAAAAGGGGCTGTAGCGGGTGACAGAGTGTGGGATGGCCCTCTGTGCCATCAGCGCATAGTTTACAAATTCGTCCCAGTCACTCCCATATTTGTTAACATAGTGACTCATGGTTTGGTTGAGCCCTAGATGAAATTTCTCAACCTTCCCTTTCATCTGCGGATTGAATGCAGTAGAGTTGATGCGTCTAATACCCAGTAGTTTACACATTTCTTGGAATAGTTCCGACATGAAGTTGGAACCCTTATCTGATGAGAGTGCCTGAGGACATCCTAGCCTCGAAAAGATCTCGGTAACAAGAGCTCTAGCGACTGTAGGCGCATCTTGCCTGGGTATGGGAATAGCCTCTGGGTAGCGACTGAAATGGTCGATAAAGGTGAGAAGATACCTATTCCCTCTCCTGGTTTCCGGATAGGGTCCACAAATGTCTATAGATGCCATCTCAAATGGGGAGGTAGTCTCAGGTAACTCTCCCAATGGTGCAGTGGGTTGTCTCCCTGCCTTAAACTTAGCGCATGAGTCGCACTGTTTAACATAATCGTCAATGTCTCGATCCATATTTGGCTAGAAATAATTAAGTTTAATCAGGTCACGAGTCCGTTTCGTACCCTGATGTCCCGCAAACACCTTATCGTGATGTAGCTCGAGGACGGACCGCTTCAGCTGCTCAGGGACAAACAGCTTGGCATGTTCCAATTCCGGTCCGACATACAAAAGTCCATCTTCACTAAGCACGTGTCCGGGTTCGATGCCAGCTCGAACCTTCGTTATTATTTCCATACAGTGTGCGTCCTGCTGCTGTGCAGTGAAAACAGTCTCTCGAGTGAGTGCATTGCTCACGTTATCTTCGAGTGGTTTCCGGTCTCCTTCCGTAGTAGCGGAAGCAATGTGACGCGACAAGCAATCTGCATTTACATGCTTCTTCCCAGCTTTATGTTCAATTTCAAACTCATATTCCGACAACTTTAAAACCCATCTCGTTAATCGAGCACACTGGTGGTTTTTCACCGTGATTAGCCACTTTAAGGCGGCGTGATCGGTGACAATCTTGAATTTTCTCCCATACAGAAAGCATCTGTGAGTTTGAGTACCAAATACAACTGCTAACAATTCTTTCTGTGTAGTACTATAATTTCGTTCCGCAGCGTTCAGCATGCGGCTAGCAAAGCTGATCGGCCGTTCCTTGCCATTGTGCAGTTGACTCAAAATGGCGGAAATGGCGTAGTCAGAAGCATCCGTACTAAGAATGAATGGCTGGTCGAATCGAGGATGTGCCAGCACTGAGTCGGATGTCAAAGCGGCCTTGAGGTTATCAAAAGCCTCCTGCTGCTGCTTCGTCCATACAAACTTCTCATCCTTCTTGGTCAGTTGGGTCAAGGGTCGGCTTATGGCTGCATAATTTCGAATAAAAAACCTATAATATCCAGACAAGCCTAAAAATGCACGAACGTCACGAACTGTTCGTGGTTGTGGGAAATCCTTGATAGCTGTTATCTTGCTTGGATCGGGTGCAACACCGTTCTTACTTACTACATGTCCCAAATATACTACTTCCGGTACTGCAAACGTGCATTTGTCTACGTTAAGTTTAAAATTTGCCTCTCGCACTCGGTCGAAAACCAACCTCATTCGTCTCACATGATCTTCAATTGTTTCACTGAAAAGTAGTAAATCATCCAAATACACAAGCACTTCTACGTCACGCAATCCAACTAGCATGGCGTCCATGACACGCTGAAATGTCGACGGGGCACCTGAGAGACCAAAAGCCATTCTCTCATACCTGAAACTTCCAAATGGTGTTACGAATCCTGTCTTGTCCTTATCCTCCTCTCTGATAGGAATGTTCCAGTACGCATTTTCGATATCTAACAAAGTGAAATACTTACTCCCTGCCATGAGTGAAAGGTTACTCTTAATGTCAGGTATAGGATACACTGGTGTAACAGTTACTGAATTCAGACCTCGGAAATCTGTGCAAAATCTATACTTCGGGGTTCCATCGGGGGATTTCTTGGGCACCAAAATTACAGGCGCCGCCCATGGAGACGCGCAAGGGGTTATAACTCCCTTGGCTAGCATCTCATCCAACTGGCGTTTTACTTCTCCTCTCAGTGCATAGGGCACTCGATAAGGGTTCTTCTTAATCGGCAGGGCGTCCCCTGTCCGAATTTCATGACAGCCGTTCTTCGTGCAAGGTAGTATACCTGTTTCTTCATTACAAAATAAATCCAAATATTCCTCAATTACCGGTAATAAAACTCGTTGTTCCTCGGTTGACAAGTGTTCCAGCTTCTTCCGAAGCTGTGTTCGTTTCTTTGTTAATTCCATGGAATTCCTCCCGGCCAAGGAGTTGATCCGGAGTTGTACTTCCTCCGTAACCTCGGGGTCGTGGAAATCGTTTCCTGTGCCCACCGGAGCGGCCCACCTGAGTGGTTCCGCCCGTCCGAGTGGGACATTCTTTCCGACCTCCAAATGCTGACCTCGAGTATTTAATACTTTTAAAACGCAATATCTTACTTTATCACCTCGGTGCTTTTCCTTAACACCGGTATTCTGATTTCCTTGTCTCCGAGTACCTGCTTTCGCAGTTTCCTGTCTTAGACAGTCTTCCCCTAGTGCTTTTAACTCATCTAATTCTTCCGCCGTTAGTACCCGGCTCGCTACCCGAGCCACGTATGCTCCCGGCGTACCTAACTCAAGGGGCTCAATTAGCACTTCTCCTGGTAGATCGTCGCTGTACTTTTTCTCTATTTTTCCGATCACCAGTCCCTCAGACAAAGGGGGGAGCATGACTGACCCGAAAGCCACAACGTTCCAGCAATCAATTGCGACACCTCCCGGGCTCAACCCTGGGATGGGTACTTCAACCTGCCCACTTGGCGGCTCCTTCAGCGGGGTGCGCAGTCCCGCTTCCGGCGTCACCTGAGATAGGCGGTTTTGGCGGCGAATTACTTGACACCGCTCGACCTCTTGGCCTGACAATTGATATCGCTTCTTTCCGAGAAGAAGCGTGCTGGTTCGAAAGTCAATGCATGCCTCCATATGTCCGAGTATATCAGCTCCTAAAATACCACTATACTCCGCGTCAAGTGGAGCTACCAGAAATTCGTAATTGAAATTTCTGTTTCCTACCTTAAACGTCGTCAGCTGTGTTCCCATCACCTTTAACTTACTTCCTGTAATCCCCTTTGCGGTTATCCGTGTTGTTTGAATTTCAGACGTAACAATTCCGGGTTTTATCACACTCACAGTTGCTCCTGAGTCGACTAACATGTGATGAATTCTCCCCTCTATTTCTATTTCCAACAGGAGCTCGGGCCCGGCGATGGTCGCCTGCAGTCGACCTATCTTCTCGCCGTTGGCTGTGGGTTCGACACTGGGGAGCTGAGTGCCGAACCGTGCCCGTTTGGGGGCGGATTGGCCCGGGGCATCCGTGGGCAATCGCGACGTATGTGCCCATGCTCGCGGCAGTGGTGACACTGAATTTCAGACGTGCGACCGTCATCATGGGGGACCCAAGGCCGTGTTGGTCGTCGGGGTCCTCTGCGTGATCTTCCGGACCTGTCTCCGCGTGTTGTCATGTGGGTGCGCGGAGGGCCACTTCTCTGCGGACCACTTTGCGTCCTCCAAACTGGCGGACCATGGTCAGGGGCCTGTCGGCAGTCCCTCGCATAATGGCCTGGTTTCGCACAGCGATAACATCGGGTGTCCTGCCTGGCGGCGAAGATGTTCCTGGGACCTTCCCTCAGTCGTCGGTGTTTCTCCACGTTCTCGATGGTTACAGCCAGCTTCACCGCTCGATCCATATTATCCGGCATCTGGTACCGCACCTGTTGGCCTACGACACCTCTGAGTCCATGGATATATGCGGCGAGCAGCCTACGCTCGGCCTCCTCATTGATCACACGTTGGGTCTCCTCATCGTTCACCCTGCGGATTGTTTTCTGACACATTTTCCGGCAGCGATCTCCAAACTCTTCCGCTCCTTCCGTCTTACCTTGGATCGCCTCCTGGAGACTGGTGTAGTAGTACTGGTCAGGAAGCTTGTCACTGAACCTCTCTAACAAAGCTGATCTTAACACTTCATACGGGCATCCATCTCTGCCCAGATCTTCTCGCCCATGTAGGTATTGAAGGGCCAAACCCTGTAATTTCGCCTTCACAATGAGGGCTTTATCCTGATTCGTCCATCCGCTCACTTTAGCTAAAGTCTCAATCTGGGTCAAGAAGTCATGCACGGGCTTACCCTGGCTCT